ATCTATTTGATCTAGCATATCATTTAGAGTCTCTGTTTTCTTGTTAATTTTTTGTCTAGTGGATCTATCCAGTGATGTCAGTGGGGTGTTGAAGTCCTATGCTATGATTGTATTGCTGTTGATTTCTCCTTTGAAGTCCTCCAGAAGTTTTTAAATGTATCTTGGTGCTCCTATGTTGGGTGCATATATGTTTACCAAGGTATTATCTTTCTGTTAGATAGATTCTTTTAATATTATGTAGTGGCCTTCTTTGTTTCTAGTTACGGCTTTCATCTTGAAGTTTATTTTACAGGATATAAATATTGCTACCCCAGCTTTTTTTTCCTTTTTGTTTGCTTGAAAAAATTTTTTTCCATCCCTTCACTTCCAACCCATGTGAGTTTTTTGTTGTGAGGTAAACAACACACACACACACACACACACACACACACACACACACATACATATATATACCTGTATACATATATATACATATGTATACATATATATACATATATACGTGTGTGTGTGTGTGTGTGTGTGTATGAGTCATGCTTTCTTATCCAGTCAACTACTCTGTGTCTTTTGATCTGGGCATTTAATCCATTTACATTTAAGGTGATTATTGATATATACTTATTTATTGCCATGTTTTTCTTCCTATTTATTCTGCTTATTTCAGCAGTCCTTTTAACATTCCTTGCAGTGCTTGTTTGGTGCTAATGTATTCTCTCAGCCTTTTTGTTTGTCTGGGAAGCTTTTTATTTCACCTTCTATTTTGAATGATAGCATTGCTGGATAGAGTAGTCCTGGATTCAGATCCTTGTTTTTCATGACCTTGATTACTTCATGCCATTCTTTTCTGGCCTGTAGTGTTTCTGTTGAGAAGTCAGCTGAGAGCCTTATGGGGGTTCTTTTGCAGGTAACCTGTTGCTTATCTCTTACTGACTTTAGGATTCTCTCTTTGTCTTTAATTTCTGGCATTTTACTATGTGTCTTGGTGTGGGCCTGTTTGGGTTCTTCTTACTTGGGGTTCTCTGTGCTTTTTGAATTTGTATGCCTTTTTCCTTCACCAAGCTAGGGAAGTTTTCTGTCACTATTTCTTCAAATATATTCTCTAACCTGTACTCATTTTCTTCTTTTCTGGCATTCCTATATTGCAAATATTTTTACATTTCATATTGTCCTACAGTTTTCTTAGGATGTTTTTAAGTTTTTTTTTTGTTCTCTGATTTAGTGTTTTTTTTGTACCCTGTCATCTAATTCACTGATCTGGTCCTTGGCTTCCTCTACTCTGCTCATTATTCCTTCAAATGTGTTCTTTATTTCTGTTATGTCATTTTTCATTTCCAGTTGGTTGGTTTTTAATGTTTTTTATATCTTTTTTCATGCTGGTGAGCTTCCTCATGATTATTACTCTGAACTCTACCTCTGATATCTTGCTTAATTCCATTTCATTTATTTCTTCTGTAGGATTCTCTTATTCTTTCATTTGGGATTTGTTTCTTTGTTTCATCATTTTGGCTGTCTCAGTGGGTTTTGGAGCCTGCCAAATTTTCTCTGTGGGCGTTGGTGTTCTGCTTGTTGTGGCTCCCTCTACGGGGTTTGGATGAGTGTGGTAAGATCCACATTAAACACCACTGTCAAGTCTTACTTTTCTGGGTAGATTTGCAAGCCCAGGAAAGGTTCAGTTATCCTCTAGCTTTTTTCCTAGAGGCTATTAGTCTCAATTACTTGATGAGCCTCGATTTTTAGCCCTCAGCTTAATGAAAAATCCCTCAGGTGTAAAGATTTCCATTGGTAGGGGCACTTGTCTGACTTTGTATGTTAATTGCATTTCTCTGGCCTGGCCTGATGGTGTTGAATTCCTGTGGGAGGGGCTGTTGCTTCTTCCTGGGGTTCTGGGAAGGGGCTCTTTGAATAAGATGGCTACTGTCCTGATAGGGGGTGATTTAGCACAAAACTCCCAGTGTCCTTCCCTCCAGCTCTCTCCTGAGCCACAAGCCCCAGACTGTCTCCACACAGTTCCAGTCCAGTCTGCCCTCCCTCTGCTGGAGCCCAAGGTGAGTGGCTGTAGCTAATTTGGTGCTTTTTAAAACACCTGCTTTCTCAACGGGAAGCACACTCAACTAATACAGCTCTCCGCTGCTGTTCATGGGCTCCCAGCCTATCCCAATGTTCCTCCACAGTTCCTGTCAGGTTCAATTTGGCATCCTCTTTCTGTCCCTGGTTGTTTGGGTTCTCTCCAGATGCTTTTCAGTTGGTTTTTCCTGATGATTTGTCTTTATTTTAGTTGTAATTCCAGTTTGGTCCTGGGAGATGGTTTTTTAGCTTCCACTCACTCTATCGCCATTTTTCCTCCTCCAATATGCTGAGGCTTCAGTGGAAAGAGGGTGGTGGGGACTGGAGGTGCCTGAGGGAAGGCTGTGGTGGGAAGGATGTGGAAAGCGCTTGCCAGGTGACCTGAATCTGGTCGTGCCTCCCCCAAATAGAAGTGCCTATTTCCAAGAAATGCTATTTGAAAGGAAGGAAGAAAAAATCCTGTAGATACGAGAATGATGGAGACTTCATCCCACCAGTAGTTAGCTAGTTGAGTTGGGGATATTTTCATATTTTTTCATTTCAAAGATTATGTTGACCTCACAGGATTTTTTTTCCAGCTCTTTAGGTAAAGGAGAGATCAGTGTTATTTATCAGAGGATTTCTCTTTGAATGCAAATCATCAGAAATGTTTGCCAACCAGATCCACACAAAAGAGATGGTTTTGAATGTAATTACTTTCTTTTTTGCATGAATATTTTTATATCCCTAGAACTATTCTACTGTTGTGGGGAAAAACTTTTCATCATCCTTACTACACATTGTATATAACATTAATGTGCTCTCATAATTGATTCTTTCCTTTTTGTTTTTTTCCAACATCAAAGTAGTATTTCCCCTGAGGTTTAATTGTTCTAACCTTTTCTTAGTTTTGCCACCAGGTGGGGTACTGGCTCCTTTTTATGGCATGGGCCACATACCTTGAGGGTAGTTTTCTCACTGAAGTGGCTGCCTTGTCCCTCATTCTTAAGTGACCCCGTGAGAAACTGTTGAGCTGACCTGGGTGTGGGTGGGGAGGCAGATGAGTCTCAGATGTGAGGGAGTCTCTGGGTTTTTCCTGCCTCACCTTGTTGAGCTAATGCATTAATGACATGTTTCATAGGTTTCGAGTGACTTGAATTTTACTACAAATACATATGTAACTCTATTTGGCAACAAGTGAATTAAGTTTTTCTTGGAATATTTGGTCTTATGGCTTAGAAGAAACAATAAAGTTAGGTAACTTTGGCCATTTTATTTAAATAAAAGAGAAATCAAACTACTAGAATCAAAGCTTGTCTTGGAGTTGGAGACTAGGGGAAATTTGTATATATTGTAGACACATTGTGTTAAGAAGCAGAGCACTTCTTACTCTTTTTTAAGCAATATGCTGTAACATTATTGACTTTTAACATAAAAATGCCTTAAGGAAATTATCAATTACATTTTCCTAGAATGAAAAATAAATTTAAATTCCATACTTTGAAACCATAGTGAGTCATATTAACTTCTATTTTAAACTATATAAAACTCCAAAACTACAAAAAAAAATTTCTTGTCATATGCATATAACTTAAATGTAGATAGTGAAGACTAAATTATGAGTGATTTTCCGATTTACAGACACCAAGTCAGAAACGGAAGTTAGAAGGCTCTTTGATCAATTGTCCTCTTGAATTTATATTAGTTTTTAGACTTTAGTGATTAATGAGGTTTTAGACCTTTTTAATGTGATCCAAAAGATAATAATAATCTGAAAATTCGGATAATGTATGACTTTGAGACTTAGGAACCATCACTTCCCGTGTCCCTCCTATGAAATGTGCGCAGGGCTTATGGTTCCCCACCACCACCCAACGCGGATAACAGTGTAACACTCACTGCCAGGCCCTGATGCTGGGCAGACTGTATTCTTCTTTAAAATACATGAGTCACTTTAGTGAAGGGTCTGAAGAGGGACCAGGGTGTGAATTCTTTGTTTCAGTTTGTGTGTCATAGTTTTCTTGGACAGCAAAGACAAAAACAAAGCCTGAAGCCTCAGCTCCTCTGTCTGTGGATTTTATTTCTCACAGCAGCCCAGTGTCTAGTTAACATAGGGGGTGTGGTTTCAAGTTCATTACTAAAGCTTATAGGCTGAAGTGCTCTGTGGGCATGGCTTTGACTTAAGTTGCCTCTCAGGAGGCAGCCCAAAGCAGGGAACAGACTGCTTTCCCAGGGCATGTGGAGTCCCAGGGCTGTCGTGCTCTCAACTATCAGCTGCTTTGCAGATTAGTGTCAGAGTAAGGATTCTTTCATTAAAGCAACATGAAGCGACTGTTTTCACAGGGGCCCCAGGTTAGTACACAACATTTTGAACTTTGTGCTGCATGTGTGAGATTCTCTTTCTGTGCTCCCTGGGCGATGCGATGACAGCATAGTGTGTGTGCTGTTGCTGTGTTCTTTCAGAAAATAATGGAGGTTTGGAGGCCGTGATTCTCATAATATATGCATTGTTCTCTTAAGAGCAGTAGAATCCAAGAAGCAATGACCTACAGTGCTGGATGTGCGGTCTAGGGATTTGTACTTGTTTGGAAGCATTTTCAGTTCTCTTTTCAGAATTACTTTTTTGGTGTCCTCCCATTAAATCTTCTAGGCATAACTATGGTTGTATACACAGCTGATGTGATTTGATTTTAATTTTGAGCGTTAGGCAGCAGGGTGTGGGCTCTCCAGGAGCAGTGTTGTTCCTCCCACACCCCCGCCTGGGGCATGGTTTTCCCTGGGGCCTACTCTTATAGTTACAATGAACCACGATATCATTTTAATTTTCTCTTTGAAAAATCTGGCATTTTTCTAGAATGCCTCATAAAATCCCAGCCTCACCACTGAGGTAGGCAAAGTGTACGGGTTAATTAAGCTGGCATGAATTCCTTCCTTAGTTGTCACTGTTTTTAAGTGAGTTCTCAGAACCCGAGGTTACTCTAGGAGTGGCTGTAACGATGAAACGTGCCTTGTTAAGATAGGAAAGTATTGCTCGTAGTAAGACAGTTAAATTAAGTCAATAAAACTAAGCATCCTGAGACTATTTCCCTTAATTCATTGACTTAAAGACCCAGAGGGCAATTCCACCTTTGTGAATTTGTCACCGAAGCAATCAGCATGAAATTGTTCTGTGAGAAGCATTCAGCTTGATGATGTTTTCAAGCTTACAACACTATGAAATATACTTGCTTTTCTGTTATTTGAAGTGCGCTTTCATTCAAGGTAATGTGCTAATGTTTTAAACATACTTCTCTGCTTCTGTCGCTGCCATTCCAGGCTCTTGTTTTCTCCCTGCCAGGAATACGGTGTTTCAGACAGTCTGTTCTCTCATCTTCAGCTCTGTTTAAAAAAGTAAATTGAGGGAGAAAGGAGACAGAAATAGGTACTTAAAAAAACGTCTTTGAGGTGATTTGCTGTTTTAAGGGTCCCAGCTCCCATTTCCGCTGAGGCTGAAATTGTAAAGTTATGGCTGCATGCCATTTTAGGGTTACAAACTGTTCTTTACAACCTGAGACACAACCGTGCAGCTATATATTGTCATCATGCCTCTGCAGGTACTTTCTTTTTTTTCTTTTTTTATCCTCACCCGAGGACATTTTTTCCATTTTTTGTTCAGATAGAGTGGGAGGGAGAGAGAGGAAGAGAGAGAGAAAGAAACATTGACGTGAAAGGGACACATCGAGTGGCTGCCACCTGCACGACCAACCAGGGCCGGGGACAAACTGCAACCAAGGTATGTGCCCTTAGCGGGAACCGAACCCAGGTCCAGAGTGGACCACAGGCCAACGCTCTAACCGCTGAGCCAAACTGGCCAGGGCTGCAGGTACTTTCTTTAACAGCAAATCATCTAGGCTTTTAGTAGATTTCCACAAAAAAAAGCAGATTGCTATGACTTGCTTAATTATGCTATCTATTGTGGCATGTATGTGCTATTATCAAATGCTATTAATTTAAAATTTTAAAATTATATTTTATTTTTATTGATGTTATTACAGATGTCCTCTATCCCCCCATTCCCCTCTCCATCCAGACCCTGCTCTCCCCTTCTTCTGGCCCTCACCACATTGTTGTCTGTGTCCACGGGCTATGCATATATGTTCTTTGGCCAGTCTTTTTACTCCCCGCCCCCTCATCTCTGACATCTGTCAGTCTGTACCATGTATCAAAGCCTCCGGTTCTATTTTGTCACTTTTAAATTTAAATTTTAAAGGAAGACTTTTGTCAATCTGATTGGAGCTGCCCAGTGATTTTAAAAGAACAATGGTAAGACAGTTTACTCATTGATTATTTGTTTGTGCTTATTTTGCATCATGGATAAAAGTCTTTAATTTATGTCTGGTAGGTCTCAGTTTCTGTGTTTGCAAATGCTTCATTTCTGATTAGGAATAGAAATAAACAATGAGGCAAAGAATAGAATAAAAGGGGAAACTTACTAAAAAAAATTTTTTAAGGGTTTTCCAAAGAGTATTCATTAAAATAAGTTTCTCCCAAACATGGGGAGAAAAAAAGACTGTAGAGTGTTCAAAATTGGTAATTTTGGGATAATATATCCAAGCAAAGCAAATCTTATTCCTGATTCTAGGTCTGGAACACACATTACAATTCTTCTCATCTTGCCAGACTGGTTTCATTTTGTTACATTTCTTCCTTTTGGCAAAAATCAAACAGAGACGGGCATTTTCTCATTTTCTCTATTTTTTCATAAAGCGCTGAGTTGATTAATTTTTATGTGACATGCTTTCTTATTGATATTCAAAGTACTCTAGATGTCTCATTAATATCCGAAGGCATATGCACCTAGCTGATGATCTAGAAGCATGTGAACCTTGTTTACTTTTAAAATTAACCTGAGTTTTGGAGTTGGAGACAAATCCTTGGGTAAACTATTTTGACATGAATTAGCCCAGACTCGAAACACTGGGAAACTTGAATAGCAGTTGAAGATAAGCACTCTAAAGGAGAAGAGAATACGTAGGAGTAATTGTGCTAGAAGAGACTTTTCTGATTGTTGAACCTTGGTACGTGTTCACCTATGGGCTTGTTCCACTCATACTCCCAGATGAGTCTCATTCCCATCCATGGTCTTGATCTTTACTCTGCATCTGGGAGGTGCATCTGGGAGTGCCAACTCTCAATCTACAGTTTTTGCCCTGTGAGATTAATGTGATGGCTACAATGAACAGTGCCGCTTTTCCTTGCCTAGCTCCCAGGCTCTGGGTCGTGTGCTTCTGTATCAGACAGTGCAGACAGAAAGCACTGGGGAGACTGTGATGCCATCCACCCCAGAAAGTCACTGTTTTAGTAATGAGTAAATACTAACTTCCCAGAAAGGTTGCAAAGGCTGAGGGCAGATTTCACTCCAGGACTGACCTGACCACAGACCTCCCCAGTTTCCTCTTTCATTCTGAAGAATCCGATTTAAGTTTCACCTCTGGCATTTCTGGGGTTGATGGTAACAGAAGTCATGGCAGGAGTGGCAGAGGCAATGGTAAAAATAATAACTAGCACTCAAAACACATTTCCTAAGGGCGGTGCTGTCCTCAGCATCTTATTTAGTCCTCACAGTAACCCTAAGAGGTCAATTGTCTTCATTATCCCCATTTTCCCATTGTGGAAACTGTCCCAGAGAAGTTATGTAATTTGTCTCCAGTCATAGCAGCTAGTCAGCAGCAGTAACAAGATTGTGCCTTGGAGGGGTGCTCTGGTGGGACACATGAGAAGTTGATTGTGTTGAAAAATATAATCTGATATTTATTATTAAAGAGAAGCAGCCATGTAAATACGACATCTGTGCTGCTCTTCAAACTCAAAGATGCTTCTGTTGACCCACTGTCAACCGGTAAGGCACGTCCTTTCTGCTCTTTTTCTACTGGGTGGGAGCTGATCTTGTGCTCTGCTTTCTTAGCTGTTCTGCTGGTGAGCAATGACAAGAATGTGGTGACCTCAGGCCGGACATAGAGGTTGCCTGTGGTCAGTAAATGAGACCAACGGTGACCAGGACCCATTGGAGAATAAGCCCACAGCATTGAAAACTGCCTTCCAATTACATAAGCCAATCTTGGAACTTTTGAGACTTCTTAAGGCTACAATAATAAAACATGGAGGCTAGGAACTTGGACCTTCTAATTGTTTAACTTGAATTTGGCCTGTGGGAGTGCGTCTTCATTCCTGCCCCGTTTGATTTCCTGCTGATAATAAAAGCTCTGGTTATTTTGTCAGTCCTGAAGGCTTTCTGGGGCTTAGTGGGAAGCCAAGAATATGAGGCATGTACATCCTTCAAAAACATAAAAGTCCATTTGAAAATACTGGGCAAATAATCCTACATTTGGCTAAACTTTAAACATTGACAAATAAGTTTAGAATCTTTAACAACATATTAAAATATAAATGATACATTATGGAGCCAAGTTAAAAAAAAAAAAAAAGCAACAACAACAAAAAACACACAAAAATTCTGATCTTTGGATGGGAAAGCACTTCTCTTCCTAAAACCAAAAGAACAAACCACAGAAGAAACAGGGTGATAGATTAGGTTATTTTAAACTAGGAGTTTCAGTGCAAAAATACCCATAGAAGTATCATTTATTGTCACAAAAATTTAGAAATAAAACATACAGTAGAAGAGGAAAATTTCATGGTGGACCATTATGCAACTATTATAATTTGACTTATGAAAAATCGTAGTAGAAGGAAATGGTGATGCTAGATCTTTAAGTTAAAACACTGGCTATCAAATTATTTGTACATTACAGAGTTGGCCATGTTTAAAACATACCTCTCTGTCCTATGTTTAGGGAAACTGCAGACAGGGTAGTCACCTTAAGTAAAAGGGTATAGGGATTATTTTGAAGGTGGTAATTTCTCCTGGTTTATATTTTTTTCTTACACTTTCCTGCATATTAATCTTTTTAAACATGATTACTTCATATTAAAGAAATAAAAACTACTCATGGAGAGAAAAAAAAAAGAGAATAAAACATACCCAAATTCAATAGGCGGTTCACATCACCCGTAATCTAAGTTAGCAGATGAAAGAGTGATTTTTATTTCCTCAAATAGTTCGTAAGTTTAAGGTATCTTTTGAGAAAAATGTATTATTTTTATGATAAAAATTAAAACAGATTAGGAATGACAGGCCAGAGTTGAGGCAATGTCAATTTTTATAAAGGAGAAGAAACTTTGACTTTGGAGAACAGTTATTTTGCTGCCTTTGTGTATTATTGTAGGACATTATCTTTTGGATTTTATGCATCATTGAAAATGTTAATCTGATCTTATAGCTAATAAAATTATAAGGTAGATAGTTCATTTAATAAGGGATGTGGGATGAAACTTATTTAGATACTTGAAGCATCTGTCTAGGAAGGACACTTTCACGGATTTCCAATGGGCTGTAATAACGCTTCCTTGGTCTAAGAGCAGTCGGTAATGTTTAGAAAGGGACAAGTCAGCATACTGAGACCATTCTCAGAAGAGATGGTTCAACTGGAATAACGAAGATGGAAGAAAACTTGAAGGTAGTCGACTTCATTCTTTCCCTTCCTCATTTTACAGACGAAGCCCAGAAAGATTGTGTCCCAAAGACCACAAGGCTCTAGGTGACTTGATTGGAGCTTTTGGGTGTCTTTGGACTCCCTCATTGTTGCTATTTCTAATATTCCATTCTGTTAATTGGAAAACAGTTTAGTAATGATGAATAACATTATATTGCCATTTTTCCTGGATTCGTAAAAATCAAAAGCTAAGATTATTCAGCACTTCCCTAATGATATTAGAAAAAGAGCCTAAAGGCCTATTGTGCTTCCAAGAAAAACTTTCACCTTCACAGGCATGGCTCGTATTCTCCTCAGTGTGGTGTGAACATTTTGTTCCTGAGCACAGGTTTATTTATTGCACATCTGGTTTCCATGTGTGTTCTGGACGACAGCAGCTACTGAGTACCCAGAGATCACTTGACACTGCACCCTGGAAGTTGTTCCTTAACAAGTATTGATAATGTATAACTTACATATCACAAAGTTAATTCCTTTGAAGTGTACAATTCAGTGGTTTTTAGTATATTTACAGAGTTGTGTAACCATCGCCATAATATAATTGTAGAACATTTTCTTTTCTTTAAAATTAAAAAAAAATTTTTTCTATCACAGTTTTCATTCAATGTTATTTTGTATTAGTTTCAGGTGTACAGCATAGTAGTTAGACAACCATATTCTTCACAAAGTGTTCCACCTGATATTTCCAGTACCTACCTGGCACCATACATAGTTGTTACAATATTATTGACTATATTCCCTATGATGTACTTTACATCCCTATGACTGCCAATCTGTACTTCTCAATCCCTTCACCTTTTTACCCAGTCACCTCTGGCAACCATCAGTCTGTTCTCTGCATCTATGAGTTTGTTTAATTGCACAACATTTTCATCACCCTCCAAAGAAGTCTTGTATTCTCTCTCCCTCTTCTCCTCTTTCCTTCCCCCAGCCCTAGGCAGCCATGCTGAACATTTCATATGCATAGAATCATTCATTAGGTGAGAAAGCTGGAAATTTTAATTTGAAGCTCAAAGACCACTTAGTCGAACAAAACCTGGTTACTATGCGGGCCCTTTCTTCTCAATAGTGTCCCAAGTGTGAAATTAGGACCAGATGAACTCAATGTTGTCATCTGTTTAATTGTTAGAGTAAGGGGCCTATATTTGTTTTCTGGAGTTCTTTTAATTAAGATTCAAATTAAAAACTATATGGGAGTGCATACCTATTACTATGAGATTGTTATAAGCTGTGTCATAAACAAAATTGTTAGGTTAGACCACTGCTTAGTTGGGGCCTTGAGTGAATGACCTGACTTTTCTAAGACCCAATTTTCTTATCTGTAAAAATGGGGATTATAATATTAGCTCTTACCTTGTATGGTGCTTGCAAGAATTACTAGAATAATGTATATAAAAGGCCTACAACAGTGCTTGGTGTTTAATACATGTTAAGTGAATGTTAGCTACTGTTAGCAGTATCATTTATAATAAACTGTAGAACGTAATTTTTTTTTTTGTTAGTCGTCACCTGAGGATGTTTTTCCATTGATTTCTAGATAAAATGGAAGGGAAGGGGGTGGGGGAGAGAAACATTGATGTGAGAGAGATACATCAATTGGTTGCCTCCTGCAGGACCCTGACTGGGGCCTGGGATTGAACTAACAACCCACACATGTGCCCTTGACTGAGCCTCAAACCTCAACCCTTCCGTATGTGGGCCGACGCTCTA